TAACTACATAACTACATCTTATGTGGAGATAAGATACTATAACAGTTCATCACGAGTTACCCATCATCCACTGCATAACTGCTACACACTTTTAAATTTGCAAGTATCTTATGCCTGAAAAGGAACATTAAGCATGAGAATAATCTGTTTTATGAAAACAATAATCACCATGGACAAATAAGCATTGGATCCTTATAACCACCGGACCTTTACAACACAAAATCTACAAATGAATCATAAGGTATTAAAATTATATAAAAATCACCAAATTAAACATTATATCACTATATTATTTTGATCGTTGTCAAAAAATAACTTCAAATGATAGTATATTAGTTATAATTGCAATTGGTTGTATATACTAATTAATGGTTGTATTAGGCATTTTATCAAACATCTGGTAGGCAAAACAACTTTTCCAAGTTAGCCACATCATGAACTAAAAAAATGACATCCAAAAAAACATAGCAACATTAATAGCTATACACACGTCGTATACAGGAAGACGAAGAATGTTGAAACTACTTGAAATCTATGGGTAAAACATAACAAATGAATAATCTTCAATTTCTTGGCAAAAATTGAAGGCTCTAATGGCGATTGAAATAAACTTGATGGGTTGAAGGTATATATGAACAGAATTTCGATGCCACAAATCCAATAAATCTTTAATTACATGCAACTGAAAGCGAGTTCGTTAGGTTGGAGGTATATATGAATCGGAAGACCTAGCCATCGTTTTTAATCTTGGATATGATAACAACTCTTGATTTCTTGCCTAATGTAAATGAAATTCAAATCTCTTTGCTGATTTATTGGAATAATGGTATTGTTATAGGGTAATACATATATTAAAATTTAAAGCTGATTGCCGATAATTTGGTATATCAATTCAAACTTCAATGTAATACATAACGATTAACGCACGAGGGCATTTGAGGAAATTCACTTTCATATTTTAAGTGAGAAAAATCGATTGGGGATGGCTTAGGAAATATCACGTGGCAAAAATCTACTTATTTATTAGATTAGGGGATTTGACTTTTGGTTTTTTCGAAGGAAAGTGTGCTATTTTTCATACCAAAACTGCTTTTCTAGAAAAATATATTCATATCATACCCTTATAACAAATGTTTTGTTCGTTATTTTTCAGATAATGTATGATTGATTATATAATCCACTCTCCTAAAGAAGCCCTACGTACAATGATATAATTCAATAATGCCATAGGAATTAGACTCCTGATTAGTTCATATTACAGTTAGGTTCTAGTATATGTTTGATGGAATTTGAAATAACATGATGTTTTCATGGGCGGCTCAACCATTTTGGGGGCTCTAAGCGAGCCGAAAATTTGGGGCCCTTTGGCCTTTACTATACTCGGAAATCGAAAACGGATTAAATGAATATTTCGCAGAAATCAGAGTCGCTAGAAGAATGCAAAATCGTTTCAGTTTCATGAGTGCAACGATCGTTGATTTATTCTTCTGCTTCATTTATTTTATGGTTACCAGATTGAATTTTTTAATGTACTAAACTTTTGGACTTTGGAGAATATGGGGCCCTTTAGAATTGGGGGCCCTAAGCCCTAACTTAACAAACCTCTACATAGTGATCAAGGATTGAATATTTTGTATAGATGAATTCACGAAAAGGTATTTCTGTTTAATGTTCAATGTAAAGGTATTGAGTTCAAACTTCGAATCTAAAAATCTGTATACAAATGTACTAAATTCATTTTATGTAAATGTCGTCTAGATTCATTGTGAATCAGATGAGCTAAAATTGCCTTATGAAATATTAAGAAACTTTATTTTTTGGTATAAAAATAGAGTTAATTGAATTATTTATAAACATATAATTTAAAATCCCCTTCTAAGATTCATATATAATTTCTACTTTTTGCTCGTGTTACTATTTTCTTTTATTTGGCTATATTCTTTAGTTACAACATCTCCAACCAATTTTCATTTTTCATTATTTCCTCCATTTATTCCCTCATTTATCTCTAACCCTATTCCATTTATTCCTCCATTTTGGGGAAAATGAATAATATAACACCATATTTGGTGTTATACTATTTATTTCCTCCAAAATGGGGATGAACTTTGAGTTGTCGATTTTAGTCCATTTTTATTATATATTTATACATTTCTAGTTTTTTTATCTAATAATTATATTTAAATGTAATATTTAATACTTATAATACTGTGTTATATATTATATTATATTAATTAATTATAAATATAAAGTTTGTTATTGTTTATCAAATTCATAAATACATATTGAAATTTTAAAACACGATAACGTATTTTGCAAAATTTTATAACTAAGTGTTATAAATATAATGTTATTTATTCATATTATTGTAATGAAAAAAATATAGATTATATATTTGTTAAAACCAAATTAATAAAATGAGTGTGTTTGACAATGAATATAATTTAAAAGAATGAAATATACTTTTTGGAGGTAAAAATGAGATAAAAAATAGAGTGGGGATGAAGATGAAACACTATTTATCACATTTTTTATTTCATTTTTGGGAGAAAAATAGAAGTGAGTTGGAGATGGTCTTGGTGGATGCATGACTAGGCGTCAAGCAATACAAATTGGACTGAACCTAAACGTTGGGCTTTATTGATTAGTGATTGAAGTCTAATTATTTAATTTAATCATGGTGTTTTATCAAATGATATTTGTTAAAACGACCCTACAAATATTAATTAAACTAATATTTTTATAAAGTTTTAATAAAAATGACCATTATTCTCATAAATTTTAAAACCAACCAATTGACCCAATTAAAATAGGCGGAGCCCAATTGTGGTCCGAAACAATAGTTTGAAATAGATTTTCAATTTATTTAGAAGAAAACACGCGGTTAATATTATAATGTTGTATTATCTATCTCTTCTGATAAATGAAACCTAAAAATGACACGTGTCAGTTTTTTAGAATGTCTGTTTGACACGTGACATTTTTCTATGATTTTTATTATTTCCTTTTTTTGGTGATAAATCAAATTCAATTTAAATTTTGAAAATACAAAATCATATCCTAATAACATTATTATGTTTATTTTGCTTAACAAATTAATTCATAATTACTTACAATCGACAATATATTGGTTTTTTTACATTTATTATTTTTTTATCTATATAAAAATTTTTAAATATACCGACCGTGGTTTCCACATGTTATAACCTAGTTATTTTAATAAGTAATAGTGATAATGATTTAGATACAATCAAATTTAGCTAATCAATCCTAAATTCCGAAACAATAGTTTGAAATAGTATTAAGCTACACCGATGAATTTGCATGGACATTACTTAAAAAGTTGGACAAAAAATGTAATTTTTTAAATTAAAAACTATAAGGATCAATACCGGATTGACCTGTATTTTTTAGGATTAATAACTATAAAAACCAAATACTTTCACAAATGGAAAATTACAGAGATCAATTATGTTGTCAAGTCATTTCCTATACTAAAAACTACATAAACCAAAACTGTAATTAATTCGTTTCTTTTTAAAATTAAAGCTATCGAGAGCAAAAGTATAATTTTCTAAATTTTCTAGAAAAAACAATTGGTTTTTACGTGCTATTTTCTATGGAATAAGAACTTTTATTGTGGTCAAATTAGGAAATTCACCATAAAAACTTTTATTGCACTGAAATTAGAAAAACCGATGAACTATTGATTCTAACGTCATTTTTTTTTCAAAGTTTTGAAGTGAAAATAATACTACTTCTATGGCAGTTCTTTTCTTCATTTGTTACTTTTCCAAAACTTTTTAAAACATTTTGGGTTTACATTATAACTTTCAAACTAAAAATTGTCTAATTTTGTATTAGGTTTATAGTTGTTTAATTTTTATTTGAGTAAATTACACGAATGATCGTTATGGTTTGGGATAATTTGTATGTTTAATCCCTAACTTATTTTTTTAACTCGGAATGTCCTTACTGTTTGTTTTTAATGCGCGCTTGGTTCCTGTCTTACATAAAAAGACTATTTTACCCTTGATTTTTTTTAATTTGTTTAAATAAACACACCCCCAACCCCACTTTCACCTCACATTATCTTATCTTATATACCTCACCTTATTTAAATAAATTAAAAAATCAATGACAAAATAGTTTTTTAAAATAAAACAGGGACCAAACACGCAACAAAAACAAACTGTAATGATCTTTCAAGTTAAAAAAAATAAGTTAGGGACCAAACATACAAATTAACTCAAACCATACAGACCATTCGTGTAATTTACTCTTTTTATTTTTCTATTTTGAAGCTTCGGACCAGTGGTCTTCACTCTTCACACCAATGTTTTAAAACTCGAGTTTTTAGTTGACCCGGTGTGATGACTGGTTCACGGGTCAACCGGTTCAACCGGTTGAACCGCCGGGTCAACCCGGTTTATGGTATTTTTCTATTTTCTTATATTTTTATTTTCCTACATACGACATAGACATATAATACCAATAATTTGATGTCAACAGAGTTTAATCTAAACACAACAAACAATCTAAACACAACAAACAAGGAAAACAAGGACAGGAAAACAAGGAAACAGGAAAACAGAAAACTCACCTGGAGAAGAACGAAATCGCTGGGCTCGCTGCTTCAGTCTCCTTCAGCGACTATAGTTCAGTCGCTGCTGATGTCGTTCCTTGGTCGCTGCTTTCTTTCTTCCAGTCGTTTTTCTTTCCCAGAGGAGACAAGTTTGTTTTGCCTGAAGAGAGCCGATCTCACTTAATTATCCAAACCCTAATAAACGGGTCAATCCGGGTTTTTAGCGGTTCGAAATACCCGGTTCAACCGCGGTTTAGTGTAAACCCGGCCGGTTCGATCCGGTCGGTATTTTTACAAAAGCCCGCTCTAATTTGACCCGCCTTTTATCCCGGGTCACGGTCCAACCGGTTGAACCGGCCGGGTCGACCCGGGTTTTAAAACATTGCTTCACACAAACGTCCTTTTCAATGCCTCTGCAAATATTCCCTCTTTCTTTCTGTTACTCCTCTGCTCTGCTTTAATCGGTTCCAACAGTCCATTTCAACAATGTACGATTACTCCACTGATTTTCCCTGCTGCTGCTTCTTTCGGACATCGGACTCTGTATGATTATTTACAGGTACACTTTGCTTTTTCCCATCAAAACTTGTTTTTGAAACAGTCTACTATCATAAAAAGGACAAATCAGATTGTTCTTATAGAGATATCTTCTATACTGATTCAAAACCTACCCACTGAGTAAATTTGTTTGGATCCAATTAGGTAGAACACTGCATTTCAACAACGATCTAAAATGAGGGTTTTATTTAACACATTGGAGTCGCTAAGACCCCTTACAGAAACCAAGGCATGGGACTACTGCGTTGTTTGGAAGTTCGATGACGATCCTTCAGGGTATGATCAATCATGATTCTTGTAGCAATGTTAATTACCATAAAAATCAACTGATTGTATCCGTGTTCTTGATTTCGGGAGTTTTTTTTTTTCAGGTTTATTAAGTGGATTGGATGCTGTTGCAGTGGTAGTAGCCATGGTGTTTGTAAAAATGTCAAAGAGGAAACCGATGAACTCGAGCTCAATACGCCTTACCTCTGCAAAGATACTTACGTTAAACACTCTGTAAGGACAAAAGCTTGTGAAAAACTTGCTGTAATTCCTTCTTCGTTGCCACTGTATCCTGGGTAATCAATAATCATCTCTATTCCTAGTTTAATCTTCTGTTTTTTTCATCATTTAATGGACGCCTTACATTCTTTGAAACCAGGATCCATGGAGAAGTAGCGATGTCTAAACAACCATTTCTGCTAAGTAACGTGAGCATTTTATAGATCGATTTACACTCAAAGGCATTGTTAACACGAATTAAACATCATTCTTCGATTGTAATGTTACAGGATTCGCTTGGAACCCAATTAGTCGTTCCTGTTGAAGGTGGTTTGATCGAGCTCTTTAGATCAAAACATGTAAGCCTCATTTTCTTTGTAAAAAGAATCAAATTTATATATATATATATATATATATATATATATATATATATATATATATATATATATATATATATATATATATATATATTCAGTCAATTTCAACATTAACATGTGTATAATTTATATTTAGGTTCCGAATGATCAAAGGACGATAGAAACCCTAATTTCACGATTGGGTGTCATTATAGAGCATGAATTCCATGAAAATGACATGAAAAGTCGTGTGAATTCATATCATTTCCATCAAATTGTTCCTAAACTAGAGCTTCTTTTCCCTGTTCAACAACCTGTTATGTCATCAGGTGCGACCCATTTTAGTAATTTTAGTGATTATCCAAATCTTAAATCAATCCAATTCTAGGTAAATGGTGTAAAATAGCCGCTTCTAATTGGGCATTTTGGTAATTTTAGGCGATGGTAAGGCTAAACACAAGATAGGTAAAGAACAATACCATTCAAAGAATCTTGTAACCGAAAGAAACCGAAGAAAGCGAATCAAAGATGGTCTGTATACACTACGCGCTTTAGTTCCCCGAATTTCCAAGGTTTTCGTATATCAAATTTTTATTATTTTTATTAAAATTTGTCAGAGTCCCACATCAGCTAAATACAAATACAACGTTGTAGTGTTGTTGATGGTTTGTTAGATATTTAAAGAGTAATATGATTTGATTATTAGATGGATAAGGCTTCAATAGTTGGAGATGCAATTGATTACATAAAAGAATTGGAAAAAAATGTTAAAGAGCTTCAAGAAGAGCTTAAGGAACTTGAAGAACAAGATTGTAAGGTGAATGATGGTGAAGTGGAAGTTTGCAAACCGAAAAGAGCTTATGAGAGCTCTACACAAATGTATTCTAAACCGAAAACTAGGGTTTCAAATGTTAATGATTCAAAAAATGAGGTACAAATTTACAACTTTCTAAAAATAGAAACTATACTAAAATTTAAACTTAAAAAATTTGATGATTTTATACTAAAATTTACGTATTCGATATTAATGTTAATGAAGGTGGAAGTGGAAGTGGAAGTACACCAAATCGGGGCCCATGATTTCTTGTTGAAACTAATTTGCAATAAAAAACCCGATGGGTTTTTGAAAATAATGGAGACAATTGATTCATTGGGACTTCAAGTGATTGATATCAATGTTACTACTTGTAATGGCCGTGTTTTGAACATTTTAAACCTTGAGGTGAATATTTAACCTTTTTTGTTTTTTTATATTCTTTTTTTTTTCATTTTTTATTTTAACATTGATGATTGGTTTTTGAAGGCTAAAGGGAAAGAGGTGGTGGCCAAGAGTTTGAAAGACTCGTTGCTTACGAGTTGGTCGGCTTTATAACTTGATTGAAATGTGAATTTTTGTTTAGTTCTTTAAGTTTTTATGTAAGAAATTAAGAACATTGATTAATATTCTCAACATTTTTCATGTAATTCTCGCTACTTGATTTTAATAGATATCCTTACGTAACTATGAAAATTGTGATTCTAAATGCAAAAAATGTTTTAAAGAATACGACGTGTTTGGATTACGAATTCCTAAGGAATACAGTGCAATTGGAATTCGAGATTATGAAATGTGTTTGTGTTTTGTTGTTAAATTGATAGAGTTCAATGATGATGAAATCATTTAAATTCCACATTTCATGTATTTCAGTGTTTGTAAGGGAGTGTGGGAGGAAATCATTTCTATTCTTACTATTAAAAGGCCATAATTGATAATACCTTGTTAATTATATATTTATGATAAATTAAAATATAAGTAAAAATTTAAAATATACTTTAATTATTCAAGTTAATTTTATTTCTTGTGAGCTATCTATAACAACTTATGATTTATTTTCATAGTTTCAATTTCTTTGAAATTCTAACGTTTTGAAAAAATCATTTAAAAAAAACATTATACAAACCAAACTTACAGCATCCAATATCATTTTATCTATAGTTTTTTTTCCACATCAGTTTTTCACTATTTTATCAAACAATAACTTATCAGCTTAAACATCATCATCTAATTTGTTATTTTTTAAGAACACATTTACCCTTATCTTTATAAAATGTTTTATAAGATGAGAAACGTTTTATAAAGAATCATCATCTAATTTGTTATTTTAAAGCACATATAATATTTATAAAAGAGTATTTAACAATAAGATTAACCAAAATCAATATATTTACTATACATGAAATTATAATAAGTAGTACCGAATTTAAGCTTTGTTTTTAAAAAAAAATTCGAATATGTTTTTTTTTGTATAAAGTCATATTTATACAAAAAATAATATTTTTCACATAAAAACCTTATATATATATATATATATATATATATATATATATATATATATATATATATATATATATATATATATATATATATTTAAAAAAAACATTTTATATGCCAAATACCTGTATAAGAACTTTTTTTTAAAACATTTTTGTATTCAAAATACGTGTTTATAAAAACATTATTTTATTTGAAATACCTATTTATAAAAACATAGTTATGTGAAAATGCATGAAATATACTTAAGTAAAATATGTTATTATATATATATATATATATATATATATATATATATATATATATATATATATCTTAAAAAACTATTATAAAATATGTATTTATTAAGTATATAAAAAAATGTATACAAAGACCTAATTTATAGTAAACGTATTTGTAAATATTTATATATACAAACACGTTTTTATACAAACATGTTTTTACACAAACACGTTTGTATACAAACACATTTACTATAAATTATGTGTTTGTATTCATTTTTTTTTTATAAAAACGGGTTTGTATATGTTTTTATAAAGTATGTGTTTGTATACATTTTCTTTATAAAAATTTGCTTGTACACAAATGCATTTATTATAAAATAGGTGTATATATACCTCTTTTAATAAAATAAGTGTTTGTATAAATTTTTTTATAAAAATATATTTGTATATATTTATGTATTTATATGCACACAAAATATTTTTTTATGTATTTAATAAATACCTATTTTATAAAAGTTTTTAAAGGTATATATACATATATATATATATATATATATATATATATATATATATATATATATATATATATATATATATATATATATATATATATATATATATATATAATAAAATATTTTACATAAGTGCATTTCATATTTTTTCACATAACAACGTTTTTATAAATAGGTATTTGAAATAAATTAATGTTTTTATAAATACGTATTTTGCATACAACAAACAAAACGTATTCGAAAATTGTTTTAAAAAAATCTAAAAAACTAAATTTATGATGAAATCGTAACAAAATTTTGAAATATGGGCCAAAAGTGTAAATTTTAGACCAAAATTGTAATAAAATATAAAATCTAGGTCAAAAGTGTAATTTTTAAAAGTGGGATGACTTGTTGACCCGGTAAAATGGTCAAATTGAATACAATTCCTTGCTTTTTTGGACTTAGTTTAATATAAAAACATATAAGGACCTGTGGAGATTTTCTGCGATAATGAAGGGGTGGTTGCTTTAACCAAGGAACCGAGAGATCATGATAGATCCAGACATATCGACAGAAAGTACCACTTCATAAGACATCAAGTAGAAGAAGGACATCTCGTGGTGAAGAGGATATTGTCAGAGGACAACCCAGCAGATCCCCTTACGAAGGGACTGAGTAGGGTTAAGCACTTGCAGCATGCGAGGGGCATCGGGCTAACGGACGATATTAGTTTTAGTGATTAGATAAATATTTTGAAACTTGTAATAGCTAAATTGTAATTGATATTTGATGATTGAATAAAAGAAGTTTTATTTATAAGTAAAGTTATTGTCTTGTGTCAATTATTTACTATTGTTTCACTTTTGCATGTTTTGACTTCCAGAATAATAAAAATTTCAAACTATCCACAGTCGATCATACTTTGGAAGTAGGTTATGAGGCTAGACTGTCATGAATTTGGCTTGTAGATTGTCTAAAGTGTTAGACATAGCAAAAGTATGCTACAACATTCATCAGTGCTCCTGAAATAAAATTTGAGTATTGGATTAAACCCACGCTCACCTGAATCACTTCATGGAATTTATCACGAGTGATTGTGAGACGATAATATCATATAGTCTTCAAACTAAGATATATGAGTTGTTGACTACGAGTTGGTTGTGCATTGATGATACGAAAACACATCAGTAACTTGATGTTATAAAACGTATCGTTGCACATGATTTAATGAGTAGTTAGCACAAGCATATAATGCCGAAGTTTATATGTTCCTTTTATCCTAAGAGGATTAAAAGCGATATCTTGGGCCCCTCGATGATTTTGTTTTGACTTATGTGTCGGGCCCGGTCAGAACTAAATTGATGTGTTCAGTTATATTCTATGTCAGAAAAATCGGAAATCGGGAAACAAACTACAGGACAATAAGTATGACTATGTTCCATGTATTTGTCCGCATGATATCTTGAAGAACAGAGGAGTATATGATCCCTTATCTAAGCGACGCATCACTGACTAGGTCAGAGTTCGACAACGACTTTGGAAAGCTACGATTGCTAATCGGATCCTGAAGTTGCATTGGCAGTTATAGTTATTAGACTTATCCAAGTGGGAGACTGTTGGATTTAGTGTCTAAGACCATAACTATAACTGGGATGTACTTGACCCGATTGTAGCATGGTCCTTTTGGGTTGCCTTCTCCAGTGCAATTTGATAGGATGGACTTTTGAGAATAAGGCTATTTGTGATTTATTAATATATTATAAGTATAATATATTAATTGAGAAATCATATTATTTAATTATTATTGATCAAGAATTAATTTAGTGATCAAAAGAGACTAATTAAATCTACGGGGACTGGTTAAGTAAATCAATGATTCTTATAGTGTGGGCCAAAGATCCATTGTTAATTAGGATGGGCTAAACCAATATGGATAGTCCATGGAGGTTTAACCCATGGAGCCTAAGTAATATGAAAGGTCATGGTGCATTAGGGTTTTCATGGATGAAACCCTAGCATTTGCAACACTATAAAAGCACACCCCTAGAGCCAAAATCGATTACCCCATTTATTCTAAGAGAGTGATATTGATTTTGTGCTAACTAGCTTATTCTCTCAAGTCTCCTCTTGCATTTGGTGTTTGTGACACATTAGAGGCATCACACTTGAGGTCCTATTCTCTCAAGTCTCCTCTTGTATTTCTTGATATGTTTATATGTATACCGAGCTTTGCTCGATGCCGGGCGGGGCCCGATGCCGGACGGAGCCTGATGCCGGACGGAGCCCGATGCCGGGTGGGGCCCATGTTATGTTATTATGTTATTATGTGATTATGTGTATGATATGTGGTAGTTTGGGGAGACTCACTAAGCTTCGTGCTTACAGTTTTCAGTTTTGGTTTCAGGTACTTCCGGTAGCAAGGGGAAGAGCTCGGGATGATTGCAGTGCGCACACCATGATTTTAGCCTGGCATATTTTACTCTGATATATTGACATGTATTTTGATCTGATACTCTGATTTGATACGATGACTTATGTTTTTGGATGAAATGATTTTGGTAACTATGGTTTATTTGATAATTAAAAATGAAATTTTTGGTCATGATTTTTGGGATGTTACAAGTTGGTATCAGAGCCTTGGTTTGAGGGATTCAGGCATACTCTCGGGTGTGTCTGAACTCAAACTGAGGACTTGGTATGAAAATTTCAAAGGAAAATCATTTTTAAAAGGATTTCAAAAAACGAAAAGGGTGTGGTGCATGCAATCAGCCGAGCTCAAGTAAGTTCTCCCAAATTACCCATACAAAGTTTGTTATGTTATGATATGTTTATGAGAACTACATGCTAGATTAGGGCTAAGGATATAGGAAGGATACCTTGTATGCCTGTTATATGAGCTTTATGGACTGCATGCTAGTACTGATTAGTCAGTGATATGGTGGCCTGATTAGGATATGATTGGTTTTGTTTATTCAATGATCGAATGCTGCTTGCTTTGTGCTTTTAGGAGTTCTAGTTATCTTAAACTAACAAGTAAAAACTATGTTAAGTTGCATATTACGAGGACTAAATAATTTCAGAAGGTTAGATTTAGCTCTATTTCGCAGCTCTCGTCTGATTCCAACCATTGTAGGGTATGGCCTCTCATTCGAAGAATTATCTAGTCTTAGTGATATGTAATGGTATTCGCGAGCTAGTTAGGGAGAGATAGCAGGGACTTCTTATGCAGCTGATGGCGGAGAGTGGGTCGGAGATTACCCTAGGGCAATCCTAGGATGAGATTAGCGAGAAAAGAGCAGTAGTAGTAAAAGGGACTTGGTGGAGTCAAGGTAATTCTTGAGGAAAGTACGAATAGATGTGGAAGGTAGTATAGGCCCGTACTACTGAAAGCATAGGATCCGTACTCGAATCAAGGAGGGCTGAGATGAATCCAAAGAACTTGTAGTGTGTGTGATACCTCGAATT